AGATTTATTTTAGGATTGAGATATCGGAAGAGTCAGAAAATTATCAAAAAAACTTACCGAAAATGTACTACTAGAAATAAAGCTGTATCTCCTAATAGGAATACTCCATCTACTTATATCATTTTTTAAAAAAATCAGTATTAGTCACATTAAATGAAATCATTTTTAAAGAAAACTTAAATCACATTAACACTACAAATTTCATTATTGACTACTTAGGCAATCTTTCTGTGAGCATTTGTGTGATTATCCAGTTGAACTCCTGACCTTTCTTTTTCTTTAGAGATGGGGTCTCACTACATTGCTCAGGTTGAAGGGCAGTGGCTATTCACAAATGCGATCATAGCTCACTATAGCCTTGAACTCCTGGTTCAAGCAATCAATCCTTCTGCCTCAGCCTCCCGAGTAGCTGGGACTACAGGTATGTACCACTATGCCTGTCTAGACCCATGACCATTCTCAGAAAATATTACCCACCAGTCTTCACTGAATGTACCTTTATGATTGTCTTGCCATACAGTTACATGGTCTTAATCTTGACTATCAACTTTAGTGGCCACATGATATTCCACAAAAACGACAGGCCATAATCTCATCATCTTTCCCTTTGCAACCCCCTTAACTACTACCCTCCCCACATTCTATCAGGAAGGCACCATGTTCAGTGGAGGTCCCCTCAGATCTTCCTGATGGCCAGCTTTCTGTCCCCCAGACTTACATCCCTATCTCAGCCCAGAATTTTATGTTTATTTTTTCCACTGTCCTACGAACTCCTAAAGGGTAGTGAATCATAACCTCCTCCTTTGTAAATGCTGTGGCTGGAGCTAGTTAGCTAATGTTTTCTGAGTGAGTGAATGAATGGAGTCTATAATCCCTCTCTACGCAGGAGGGCATATTGATGGGACTCTGCCGCAGCCTGATGGCGAAGGACTCGGGGTAGTACCATTTGGAAGGCTCTAGCTCGCCTTCTGCATCTTGGCCACCACGGCATGTGCAGACCAACTAAAGCAAGGAGCCCCTCTCTTCAGGCCGCTTCCCTTGTGGATCTGGTGCTGAGGCTCAGGAGGGACTGTGGCCCACAGGACTCTCCCAGACCTCAGGCCTCCCAATCCCATCCAGTGCCTCTTGCTTCTTCCCACACAGCAGCTTCTCCACTGCCATCCTCTGCTTAGACCCACTGAGCCCCTAGACCTTCCTTCTACCAGCAGCGTCAGCCTCTTCCTGGGCTGGCTTGAGAAACATAGCTGCATGCCTCAGCACTGCCCAGACCCACTCCAGGCATGGCATTTACCCTAGGGGCCTCCAAGGTGGCAGTGCACCGGGCTCCTCCCTCTTCCTAGACTCCCAAGCTCCACCTAGCCTTCCTCTCCAGGCCTCACACTCCCAAGGGCCCCATGCCCAGTATATTGTGGAATCTCAGCAGACAGCTGCAGTGGGATAGATCTCACCTCAGGAAGCGATGGGTTTTCAGACCAGAAGCATGTCGAAACCAACAGACTTCATTTTTACTTTCAATATTAACATACCTATAAAGAAGTGAAATTCTTCCCAAGCTTAGAGTTGTTAAATTATAGAGCCCTTGATCTGGTAGCAAATTATGGAAGTTGTATACTCTCATGGAACAAAGCAAGCCTATTTTCATGTGACACACGGGCTACCATGGGATCACCTATTTCATACTGTTACAGGCCTGAAAGAGGTATATAAATGGTATAAACAGCCACTCTCTGCAGAGAGCCAGGGCCAGATGAATGCCTCTCAGCAGGCTGTACTGGGCTCTTCCAGTTGGCCCCACAGCCTGTGCAGGACTGGTAGTCTTGGGAGAGGGCAAATGCCACCCATTTCTAAACGTTCCCAAGTGAGACCACAGCATGGCCCCGGTCTCCCTGCCTCTCCCCAGCAGTGCATCTGTCCAAACTTCCCTGCGACGCTGAGCTTGCTCCCAGTGGCTGCTCACTGGCTGGTTCACCAGCAGACCTTCTCTGCTGTTTTTCAGAGGTACTGTTTTTTATCTGGTGTCCACCTGGCCCTGGATTTTTACACTGCTCCCACCTTCAAAAGAACCCTGCCTTGCTATTGTGGCTGCTGGGACCCACGGCAGCTATTCTGGAGTTCTGCGGTTCAAGTCTGTGTGGGTATCTCAAAGACTGATGAGAAAGCAAGACCACAGGGCCCCCAATCCTTCCTGACCTCACTCCTCTTACTTGCTCTTCAGTGCAGATGGCCCTGCCATGGAAGCCTTCTTGCATCTGTGCAACAGCTGGAATTTCCCACTCACGTGGCTCCCTACACCTTCAACTTTTCCTCCAGAGCTCTCATAATGGTAACTATATAGTTATTGTGCAAGTGCTCAGAACTACCACATGGGCATGCTAGCTGTGCACTACACAGAGGAGTGAGTGGGACTGGAATCCAGACTGGTCACCGGTGTCCCAAGCCCCTGAGGGAACCTTAGCAGATGTTCAATGAATATGAGCTGAGAGGACAATCAGGCAGGCCTGAGCTCCAGGCTCCCAGTGTGGCCTTGGTGTATCCCAGCCCCAGGTTAACCAGGTTGCAAACCTGGGAGCACTCACAGACTGCTTGGCCTGCAGACACAGGCCAGGTGTCTGCTCAGTGCCTGGGATAAGCCTTGCACCTGGCCCAGCCAGGGAGCCAATATTTGCAAGAAGGATCGAAGCCCACCTCAGTAAAAGTTGTGAAAGCACTTGGCAGGGCACCCAGAGGAGAAAACAGAGAATGTAAAGTGGACGGGGATGATTTCACTAGGGGAAATACAGAGCAGCATCTTAGAAGAATGGGCATTCTCCTGGCTGAGGGGGTGTGCACACGGTCCAGTGTGATGGCAGGACTGGAGACAGCAGGCTGCTCACATGGACCCCGAGGGAAAGCAGGCGGTTGGAGGAGGCTGTGAACAACCTGGGTCTTTGGCTAAAGAGTCTAGACTTCCACAGCGAGCACACTAAGCCCAAGAATAAGATGGCCTATCTATATTTTTTTAGAAGAACTGTCCAGTGGCCACATGGAGAACAGAGAGAAGCTGACGAGACCAGTGACTGGAAAGACAGAGCAGGCGTCGCCCCACTGTAAGACATGAGGATTTGGTAGGATCCGCTAACCTAGCTGTAGAGGATTCCACCTGACAGATGGGTGCACAGCTGTGCAAGAAGAGGGACAGGGCAGGGAAGGAGGGCACACTGGGCTGCATTCTTTCCCAGAAACACTAAGGGGCTATAGGGCGATCGCAGGGGATTATGCAGCTACAAGGAGGGTCTTGCCACATGGTCTGCTCACCACATGCGTGACGGCCAGACTCTGATGCTCAGTCAGCACCATGGCCTGGGACGTGTGGCAGCTCATCAGGGCCTCAGGCCACACGTGCCATGTGGCACAGGGCCTGCTCCTTCCTATACTAAAGATTCTCTCACCAATCCAGATGAAATCCAGTGAGGGATGGTTTTGACCTTCCATTTTAACTGAGAATTTGCACTTCACTCTATGACAGAGCACAAATTTGAAACTATTCACATATTTCCAAATACGAAAAACTAAAAATCCACGTGCAGATGAAAAATGGTACTAACTCTGAGTGAAAGTTTAAGGCATGGCTCCCACTGAACTGCTGTGGAAAATATCCATATCTTTCTGATTAACATTTTAAAAAATAATAACACTTTTTGTAGAAGGAACACCCTACAGAGTATCTGGTGGAAAAAAACAGTGAAAAAAACAAATACCCAAATGACTTTGCATCTTGAGAACAGCATATCCTCAGGAGAAGAGAAGAGAGAAGACAACTTTCTTCCTTTGCATGCATTCAATCTCTCTACTACTCTTATTTCAGACCACTTTATTAAGGTCTGATTGCCATGCAGAAAGCTGTGCATACCTAACGTCCACAATCTGATGAGTTTCTCCACAAAACCATCACCACAATCTCTGCCACAAGTATATCTATTATCTCCAAAAGTTTTATCTGCCTTATTATTATTATTATTATTATTGTGTGAATACTTAACATAAGACCTACTCTCTTGCCAAATTTTTCATTACATATTACAGTTTTATTAATCTTAGGTCCTATGCTGTACAGCATATCTCTTGAACTTATTTTTTGTAACTGAAGCTCTATAAAAGCCAAGGCAAGAACCATTAGAATTGACCATCCAGTGTAAAGTGCCAGCCTCACCACATACCTGGCCAAAAGACCAGCACTCTAATGAGTAGCACCTGCCCAGCCTCCCACCCCTGGGGGCTGGGGGACTCAGCTCTCCTCTGTCATCAGAAGGCTCCTTCCAAGGAAGGGAGACACACCTTACACAAGATGTCACAACCGGGGCACCAGCCTGTATCCTAAGCCCACACCACCTACTACAGTACAAGGAGTTTTAGATAGTTATGGCAATGTTTTATAAGAATTAAGAAACAACAAATTCTCCTTGACCCTGGAACGTTGCTTTACAATGTTCAATGTACAAATGTAACTTGTGCGAAAAGATCTATGGTTGTACTATTTATAAGCACTCAGAATACCAGTAACTTCACAATGAATACCTGTGGAATGAATGAATAAGTAAAAGGAAAAACAAATGATCGACAACAATAAAATATCTAAGCTAATTACCACTTAGAGGTAATTATTTAGTTCAGAGGTAATAAGAATGGCAAGGACATTGCTATTCCAGCCTAGAAATGTACACATGGAACAATTTTTAAGGAAAAAGGCAGAGAGAAAATGCTATGCACATACAAACTGTATAATGTGCACCTGAGACACACTAGTGACTATGTAAGAATGTGAGGCAATGGGCACACAAAGCAACGTATGCAGACGTGTTATCAGCACAAGTAAGTGCACAATGGGGTTCATCACGAGAATGCAAAGGAATACAATGGCCCGAGTTTTCTCTCTTCCAGCATATTCTGTGCAGCACCCTTTACCACGGTTTGCAGAAGACACACAGCCTGCAGCAGGAGAGACAAGGACAGGGCTGGCTAACCTGGGCCAGGGTTCGGGGGCTGCCTGGTGTAGGACACGTTGAAGGCAGGCTCCTCAATCAGCGGCGGGGGGTACATGCGTCTCCGGATGAAGAAGCCAGCTCCGCAGCAGAAGAGCACGCCCATCATCAGGAGGAACCTGGGGAGAACACAGACATGAGGTGGCACTCAGAAGGCAGAGGCTGGAAGGACTTGGCCGGGTGACTCTGAGGCCTCGTGGACTCCTTGGGGATCGGATCAGAGGCAGCACAAGCCAGGAGGCGCCCGGCCAGGAGTGCAGGTTCCTCTCTCCTGCCTGTTTTACCCAGGGACGCTCCTCCAGCAGATGGCACCAGGAGGCACTTGGCCCGCACACCTGAGTCATGCCCTGGGTGAGGTTTACAATGCCGAGATGTGCCATAAATGAACACTGTCCCAAATAGCTCCACATGGCGAGTTGGTGCAATTACTTCCCTGTTCGTGGCTCTGACTGCAACTCAACGTTTTAGTCAAAACAGGAGATGCTGTCTAGATCCTGTCTAAACACTATGGCTGATCCTGCCTTTGCCTCGATGTCCAAGTCCCCCAGATTCCATTTTTAGCTGTTAAAACACCAAGGGTGAGCACATTTACCCCACCCCCAAAAGCTGTCTCCATTATCACATGAACATCCATAAAGAAACCAAAGTACCCTTCCTAGAGAGCACTTTAATTACAGAGAAACTGCAGGAATAGTATGCAAAAATACAATCAACAAAAATGATGACCATTTAGAAGACTCTAGGTTCTAAATATGGTTGAACAGACTCCCTAGCCTGACCTTAAAGCCTAACAGACAACAGAACTGTGTGCTTTAAGGATAGGACCCTTCGTCTAACTCACCTAAGAATTCTCACTATCATTGCACTGGCATTCAGCAAATTACTGCAGAATAAATGAATGCGTGACTTCCTCCCATTCTCCATGTGCCTTATTCTTTTTGTTTCTAGAAAAAGGGGGAGGCACTCTGAGAAGGACAAGTAATAATACCAAGAAATTCTTGCCCATCTCTAAACTGAAATTACGATGGGACCCATGGAACCTTCCAGAATCCCACACAATATACCCACACTCTGTGAAGACAGTCCATTGGCTTCTGAAAGATGAGCACACAGCAGAGCGGGTCTTGGTCAACAGCACCAGTGCACACATAAAATAAATCTAAGAGCAGTGTGGATGGTAAAACCTTTGAGAGTATTGCTATGAAGCTAGGAAGTATTACCGGATAACCCTGGCACACCGAGCAGGGAGAAGAATCAGAGGTGCAAGGCAGGAAATCACTCAAGAAAAGGGCTTAAACTGCGGACTCTGTGCCTGTCTTCCAATTTGTATTTCAACAAGTAATTATACCTGCCATGCCCTGTCACTACAGTGAGCACGGCAGTGAGTATGCCAGGTGGGGTTCCCCATCCCACTGGGCTTAGCAGGGGAGGGAGACAATGAACGACACTTGTGTACAATACTTAACTGGTAAGTGCTAAGAAAGAAAAATGAGGGAGGCAAGAATAAGTGTGGGTGGTAAAATATACGTAACATAATTTGCCATTTGCCATTTTAACCATTTTTACGTGTGCAATTCAGTGCACCAAGAGGTCTTAACAGGGTCGCTGTGGCAGGCAGAAGATCAGAAAAGCTGCATTCCTTCAAGAACATCTGAGCTTGGTTCTGAAGAATGAAAAGAAAAAGACAAGCTGAAGGGAGGGGAAGAACAGCACGGGTAAAGGGGGCCAGGGTCAGTAGACGCTTGGAGTGAGGGGCCTGGAGAGAATGGCTGTGCAGGGTGGAGGGATGGGGCAGAGGGATGCAGTCTCCGGAGCCCAAGGACCCCGCCTCTGCAGGGCATGGCAGAATGAGGCAACACTCAGCTCAGCAGGGGGAATGCTGAATTCACAGAGGGAACGGTCTTGCTCTCAGCACTAATTCCCTCAGGTGGACTCGGTGACAACCTTACAGTCAATGCGGAGTCCAACCAATGTAAATACCTGGGTGGAAATACTTAAATCATGGAGAGGCTGGATGCGCACAGGGTTTATGTTCTGAAATAGCACCCCTTGCCACTCCAAGAGACTGGGCTCCCTGGACTGAAAACTGCAGAAGCCAACTGAGAGCTTGGTCTCCCCTATGAGGTAAGCCAAAATGTCAGTTACACTGCCGAATGGGACATTTTTTCTTCCTACACAAAATGACGTTGCACCCCACACCTTAGACTGAGGGAGGGCAAGCAGGCACAATACAAGGTAAGGACGGAACAGAGTCACCTGGCTCAGGTGTCAGTCATCACCCGACGTACTCCTTGTTGAATGCTAGTCTGAGAACTTGTTTTATTTTATTTTTTTTGAAAGTAGGATTTAAGCCGGGCTTGGTGGCTCAGCCTGTAATCCCACACCTTTGGGAGGCTGAGGTGAGTGGATTGCCTGAGCCCGCAGGTTCGAGACCTGCCTAGGCAACTTGGCAAGACCTCATCTCTACAATAAATCAAAAAATCAGCCGGGCGTGGTAGCGTGCGCCTGTAGTTCCAGCTACTCGG